AATATAAGGTTGTGGGATTGCTTTAAATTTCACAGCAGCTGAATGCAGATCTGAGCATGTGTTTTTAGGAAAACTAATGGAAGTTATTGTTCACTGTAGTTTTAGGGCTGTTAACGGTCGTAGGGCCAGTAGTGGTGCTTTGCCAACTGTCCTCCAGGTTGTTGTTTTTAAAATCAGAACAGTACATGTCTTGGATTGTTTGGATGATTTTTTTTTTTTTTTTTTCTGTGTATTTGATCATTTATTTGACTTCATGTCTGACATTCAAAGATCCCAAACATCAGCACAGTAATTCAGCTTCACTGTTCTAACATTTTCACAGAACTGGCCATGTCTCTGACTGGAGTTACCGTAGCTTTTCGGCTTGAGTTGAGCTTAAACATGTTGTATTGACTGGGGTTTTAATTTTCATTTCAGGAAAATGAATCTGGGTCCTTTCTCCAACAGGGAAATGCAGTCCTCACTTCTGCAGCTCAGGTTGTTTTTTCTTTTTTGCCTGTATATTAAAATTGATTTATTTAATTGATTTGTGACCTTCACTGCTGCCTGAACACTCTCCCTTGCCCTATTACTTCCAGCCCGGTGATGAAAATATAACTTACTGTGAACTAAAGATCTTCCCCTGTTGTCTACTACCAGCAGACTTCTCAGACCAGAAGATCAAGAACTCAGTATCAGGGGAGGAGCCTATGGTAATATGTCAGTTTATATGCTGTACAAACCCTATCAGCCGCAGTCTTAGTTCCCAGACACTATTTAGAATGGCCTATATGTGTCCTGACTCTTGTGAATCATAAAAACCTGTACATGTTTATTGACGCTGATGTTGTTACCTAACCTGTTTTTTCTCTCTGTGTGCACACATCTCCCCTCCAGAAAGAGTATAGAAGCAAAAAGGCTCTGCTGCTGAAGATTGTACATTCTTCTGCAAATGCCTTCATTCAGCAGCAGGTCAACATGGCCCTGGAGGCCCTGGTACAGAACTGCGGCCCAGGTCGAGTTCCGATTGCTTTGCTGAACAGGGCGGAGGTAAGACCACAGCAGGGAACAGAATCTAAGATTCTATAGTAGCAGAAGCAATCAAAGTAAAAGAAATGAAGCATAATGAGTGGATTTGTTTGTCTGCAGCCACCTGAGTGCAGTGGTGAGGGCCAGCACTGCTTAACAGCTCCACCTCCTGGCTGACAGATTGGGAGCGGATGCCATCCTGACAGCAAGGAAGGACTTCACCCAGTGCTTCCTCATTGCTGTCAGTAAGATGTGTCTGGATGCTGCCACTGAAGTCAGGTCAGTTATCACTGCCTTTGGTTCACAAGGTTCAGAACTGTAAGATATGATGGTTTCGATTTGTATGTGGTTGGTATTTTCTGTTAAACAACAAAAATATCTCTCAGGCCCCACGCACGGGCTATGCTCCAGGAACTATACTCCACAGGGACTTTGTGAAACTGTGGAAGAGGATCATTGCTGAAAAAGATCAACAACTGGAGAAGATCTTGAGGAATGGGATGAAGTTGAACAGGAACTGAGGAATAGATGAGATGGCATGGTGGGGCAGTGGTTGACACTCTAAACCCTGACTCTGTACCTATCGTTGATCCCAAACCTTGAGCAGTGCTAACCACTGCACCACCCACCATGCTGAGTTTTACCATGCCTGACCCCAAATTTGAATGCCCCCTCTCCCCAGTAATCCTACTTTTGAGTCTGGTTAGCACTGTCACTTCACAGATCGAAGCAGCAGCCTGTGAAGCTGCATCGTCTCACGCTGTCACTTTGCTGTTTACCTTGTTTATTTTCTGTTTTTCTCAACATGTGTCATCTCTGCCGGCATACGATTAGATGTTGTTGTTGAAAATGAACAAATAAATGGAAACTCTTATTATTAAAATACTGCACAATTTATTGCCTTGTTAATGTAGCTGATAGCAATATGCTGTGCTGAACTCACTGGAAAGAGAAGTCTCACCACTGCACTGAGACAGAACAAGTGGCAAAGAGATCAAATGACTGTATTCAAACATTTACGTAAATCTTTATGCTTACAATGATAGCAGTCAGTGTGTGGGCCAGGTAGGAAAACAACTGTACACTGTATAACACTTAATTCTGTATTCTCTTCTAACACTTCATTTAAAGCCCCAGAAATCTTGAGACAGGCGTGTGAAACTTTGACTGCAGAGTCAGTAGCTCTGCCACAAGAGGGCAGGGAAGCTCCATCTGAGTCCCCATCCAGATTACATGGAAATCCACCTTCAACAGTCAGACTTTATTCTGGAATAAATGTAACTTTTTAAACTCAAACTCTGTAGGGGGTGGTGTGGTCTAATGTCCAGTCAGTCTTAGTTGAAAAGTTGGAATTACAGAAGTGGAAGATGAGGGATACAATTTATTAGAGAAGGAAAAGGGGAAACATTTAAAACTAATGTATAATCCATAAACAGTGATGCCATTCTCTCTGTCTTATTGTGCACATTAACGTGGCCTTTGCTGTGAAATCTGATGGATGTAAAAGTTTGTGAAAACAATTATCAGCAGCATAACAGATATAATTTTGCTGTATGGAACCCTAACAGTTACCTGACTCTGAGTCGGGGCGTCGGTGGTCTTTATGTTGGAAGCCCCTGGCGCTGCAGATCGAGGCCTTTCCCTCCCTGCTCAGGCTGAGCCCCTCCCTTCCTTCCTGCTGGGTGTGTGCTGTGAGGCGACAGATGAAGTCCAGGTCTGAAGTATAGCGTGCCCTCCCACACATCCCTCAGACATCCCTCAGTTTGCTATCTGAGTCTTCAACACCAGCCCTTAGTCCTCACTGCTGGCCTCTCCACAGTGTGACCTTTACTGTGAGGCTTCAGCTTTTTAACCAACAGTGTCACTGTAAGCACAAGGCATTTTATTTTGTGAAGACAGGTTAATTGCCTTGTTTTGATTAACTTGTGTGATATTCCCTGCAGTTGTATTATGGTTCTAAACCCTGAGATCCATGTGCTCTTACTTTTTTTTGACTCCATGTATAGTGATAGTGGTATTTCTGTTCAGCTCTCCCTCTGAGAGCAAATGCTGAACAAACAGTTGTTTTGGCCATAATTTGACATTTGGGGAAGTCTCTTCTCTTTCATCAAACAAACTGAAAATTGAACACATTAATTCCTGTGCACTCAAGCATTTTCATTTCCAGGACAGATACAAGTAAAAACACAGATCCAATAAAACCAAATTAACAAGAACTTAGATGCATTTGTCTTTTACTTGGTATGTGTCCTTTCACCACCATACTTGACTTAATAACCACTTCTTTGTACACATTTTGGACCCAGCACAAGTTTGATTGCTAATGTCTGAAAGATAAACACTTCTGAATGTGAAAGTTATGAGAAGAATACAAACAGCGACACAGCTAATCTATCAGGCTGCATTTCGATACACTGGTGCTTTGAGCTGAACGCTAAAGTCAGCATGCTAATCAAATTAGTTTGGTGTTAATTATGCTAGAATGTCATAATTACTGCTCAATACAAAGTACAGTGGAGGCTGATGCTGAGGGGGATATGATCAGTCACTTTGCTGAGTCGACTCACTTTGTACAGTTCATTTTACAGATTTGTAGTCTGACTGTGAAGTTTGGTCACTTTTTTCCTACCGTAAGTTGTGGCCCTTCAGTCTGTACAACAGCGAGTGAACACACTAACATTCACATGGCCTGATGTTCAGTGCATTCAGGCCTGGAAACTAATGTCTGCCCATTTACTGTTTAGGCCAGTAACACTGTTTTACGAAATACATAAACATCGTCCATACCAAAACAAAACAAAAGCAGCAAAATGTGTTCTGTTTCATGAGTTAGTCCACTGAACAGGAACACAGACAGCGATGGAATCTAACTAAGTAGTCTACACTTACTCAGGTACTGTACTTAAGTACTAATTTGAGGTACTTGTACTTTACAGTTCTTGAGTATTTCCATTTTCTACATCTCAGGGACAAATATACCTATTACTGCACCACATTCGTCTGGCAGCTGTAGCCTCAGTTTACAAATGATAATTTTTCATACCCTGAAAACCACTTATCTCAAAATTTGTGTTTGAATTTTTCTGATGGGTTAAAGTGTTCCTTTAAGGGTGGAGCAAATTCTTCTACACCTTAAGCTAAATAATCAATTTAAAGAAATGTGCATTAGCCAGAAAAGGCCGTTGCAAAACTGAAAACAGGTTTGTTTTTTTAGTTCGTGAAAAGTTGACTTTCACAGATATGTGGTTCTCACAATGCTAATGTTCCAACTTTACAGTATATCTTGTAGAATATGATGCACTGCTGTAGATTAAGCTACCAGCAGTATAAAAACAGCTACAATTAGTGCAATGTTAAATGTCTACAGCATTAAAGCTCAACATATACATCAATGCACCAATAAAACACTGACATGAACCAGTCTTCTGCATAGTGACTACTTTTACTTAAATGTTACTCATAATACTTACTCCACTACAAGTACAAACCCCAATTCCAATCAAGTTGGGATGTTGTGTAAAACAGAAATAAAAACAGAATGCACTGATTTGCAAATCCTTTTTGACCCATATTTAACTGAATACACCACAAAGACATTTAATGTTCAAACTGATCAACTTTATTGTTTTTTGCAAATATTCACTAATTTTGAATTTGATGCCTGCAACATGTTCCTTATGACAACACTTAATAAGCATTTGGGAACTGAGGACACTAATTCTTTCCCATTCTTGCTTGAATTGCTCAACAGTCTGGGGTCTGTGCCACACATTTTCAATGGGAGACAGGTCTGGACTGCAGACAGGCCAGTCTAGTACCCACATTCTTTTACTTTGAAGCCACCATCAAAATGAGAGACTATTTGCAAAAAACAATACAGTTTATCAGTTTGAACATCAAATATCTTGTCTTTGTGGTGTATTCAAATAAATATGGGTCAAAAAGGATTTGCAAATCATTGTATTCTGTTTTTATTTACGTTTTACACAACATCCCAACTTCACTAGAATTGGGGTTTGTAAAAGTGTGGATTTTACAGTGTGGTATTGCAACTTTTACTTAACTAAAAGATGTGGATACTTCTTCCACCACTCAGATTCATATATACAGTTTTTGCTGCACCTTGGGGGTGGGGTTTTGCACCTACTGTACAGTAGCACTTTCTCTGACAGAACTTCTGTTGATTGTCATGAAGCTCTTGTAGCGCTGAGTAACTGGAGTAACTGAGGACTTCCAAGGTGGAGGTAATGTTGTTACCGGTGTTTGCTGGTTTGTTCACAGCATAACTCAAAAGGTAATGAATGGATTTGGATGAATTTATTTTGCAGAGGTAGGGTTTGGCCCATGGAACAGGGCTTGTGTTAAACTCACTATTGTGAGACAACAAATAATGCTAAATACTTGCAACTAAGATCTAATGAGTGCTGTCTATTTATGAATATATTTCCATGCATACCCATCATCCCTCCCTTTTTAGCATACCTGTTGTTGGCTGCTGTGATTTATTAGTTGGTGATAATATGATGCGCTGAGTGAGGCTGTGATAGTTTTTTAATTCAAAGTCCCTTGCTTGTGAACATAGCTGTAGTTCTGCAGCGTTTGGGTGCAGATTGCTTCAGGGCTTTTCTCTTTTCACATGCTGCCTCTCAGCTCCACCTTTTCCCTTATTCTTTCACCTATGCTGTCCGTAATTCTCCACACTGCTTGGTAATGCACACTCCACCCAATGTTCATGTGTACTGTACATGCATGTGTCCGATCGCGTGATGGCAAGCGGGCAGTGGGTGGGGGGGCTGAGGCTCTACAGCTCTGAGTGTAGCTGCCCCATGCTTTGACTTTGATTTACTCATTTCATTGTACATATTTAACAGTTTCCTAGCGCTCTGGACCAATCAGCTGGCCAGAGCACCAGGAATTCTCCTGTCTGACTAATGTGGGCATCATATATAAGCTATTAGCAACATTAGGCCAAAGTAACTGGGATCAGTGTCAGTGTTAAAAACCCATATCAGTCAAACTCTAATACCTGCACACAGTATATGATACAGTGGGTTTGGGGGTGAAGCCCATTGTGATGTGGATTCCCACCATCAAGGCCTATAAGTTGGAAGCTAAGCCAAGTTAAACACACAACCACCTAAGAGAGGTCAGACTTAAGGTCCATTGCTCCACTGGTTCCAGTCCATCACAGTTCAATAATCTGTTCATTGAATCACTTTGACATTCCTCTTCTTTTGCTCACAGAAACCCTGAACCTGAGCTTAAAAGCTCAGAATGAATCATGTAACATGCTGCAACCTAGATGGTTGGATCTGTGAAGTCTCGCCTGGCAAATCCTTTCTGAAAAACAGTAAAACACATACACATAAATACTGGCAGGCAACGCAAAAACAATAAACATGTTTCCAAAGAATGATTCAGTGACTGGCCTAGACATTTACTACACATCTACTGTCCACGTCAAGATCGTTACCTCTGTAGCCACGTTACTCTGATTTTAACTTAATTACACAATCTCCCAGGTTGTTTTTGAATCCATTTTAAAAAGATTTAGACCCCCTACTGTATGAGGCCATATATAACAAAAACACCTTTGTACATTGCTAAACTTTTAGACATTCGACTCAGTGTGACTGTTGTACATTTTATTTATTTAGGCTATTTATTTATTTTTAAATATTTCTTTTTCTGGTGCCTAATATTTACATTGTCATACAGTTTATTCTGTTATAGTGGGTTATTTTGTAAAGCACTTTATCACCTGTTGTTGTTATTAAATGTGCTATATATATATACATTGACCATACTTTCCATCACAGTTTCTGCAGTCATCGCACCAATGCCTTCAAATCAAATCTTACTTCATATATAAACACAAGGCTGTGGTTTTGCCAGTATGGCCATGCAAAAGCTTACCATAAATATCATTCTTGTTTAATGAATTGTTTCAGCCTCCTGTTACTGCCCAGTGTTTCCTAGAGCATTTTGTGCTGCCCTCTGCAGTTGAGGTAGGGTCTTAGACTAAACATCTCATTATAACATTATAACATTATAACATTTCCATTCATTTGAAGTCATGTTTCTGGACATCCGATGGATCTAAGTCCAGTATTCACGTTTCTTCTTCTGCCTCTGGTTTTGTTTCCACTAATGCCTGAAGGAAATATCTGGGTCTTCAGCTACTAAATGCTCCACTATGTTCACAAGCTAGTTGCTACCTTTATCTCCTGTTCAGTGCTCAGCAGGTAGTGTACAGCAGGATTATCAGGCCCCTTTTCACCAAAACAAGCAGCCTGCTGCTGCTGGAAGAGC